TTGAGCTTGCAACAAATCTTTTTCATAATCCGTGAAGTCCCTAGGATAGAATTCAGTGACAAGGAGGCAAGCATCATCTATATTAAAAGACAATCGAGAATTGCGAGGGTCGAACATAGAGCTAAGAGCAAGTAGCTTCACGGCATTCTTACTAAACCTGTTGTTTAGCTCTTGCAATTGGCAACCTACTGTAACATAAAAATGTTTATACGATAATGATCCTCGACTGTAAATAGATTTTGCTTGTTCCGAGATCGTCCTCCTCTTTCCACATATAAAGCATTAATATTACGAATATCTATTGCACGACTTTCACAAAAATACATTACCTTGGAAAAAATATTGTTGTATCCATCATCTCTCATTTTCTGGATAAGACTCTTTGTCGTCTCAACAAGAATAGCATTCAAAATATCTTGAGATTTTCGTTGTAGAGCTTGGCAAAGTGTATTAGTTATTTCCATGATTTCCTTCATAAATGTAGGATAAAGATGAACTTGGATGAAGTTAAAGAAGTGTAAGCTGAATCAGCATCAGCTTGTTGATCGCAATTTTCCTCATCAATGATGCACAACAAAACCGAGCAAGCGGCACTAAACATCTTTAACAAACTGGAAATGGGCCTCAAACGTGAGCCCCAACGCGTATTCCTTGCTCGTTGTAAACTCCCAATTTGATTTTGTCCAGACTCTTTTTCAAGCTCATCAATATAAATCAAGTAAGCAATATCAGAAGCTTGAGCCGCTTTCAATTCATCGACGCGTTTACAAGAAGAACCCACCACATTTATAAATGAGATTTAATTTTGTAAAAAAATGATGGATGGGAATAACTTCTCGAGATGTACCAACTAACGCTAATTGCAAGCGATGAGCTAAACAATGCACATAATATGCAAATGGGCATTCTTTAGAAGTTAATGCTTATAGCCCGTTGAATTCACCCCTCATATTACTCGCCCCATCATATCCTTGACCCCGAATATTTTGAATGTCAAGATTGTGACGAGAAAGGGCAGAAAATATTGCATCTTTTAAAGTTAGCTCCTTCGTATCAGACACATGTACGAGATCAAAGAAGCGCTCCCGAACAAAACCATCAATATCAACAAATCTCAAGACGATACTCATTTGCTCCCTTTTTGATTCATCTCTGGCCTCATCAACAATAATGCAAAACTTTGCATCCCCAATTTCCTCACGAATCACTTTTTTTTATCTTCATTGAGATAACAAGTAAAATATCCTTTTGTACAGACGGGGATGTATACGAGGCATTTTGAGGTGCTTTGTCTGATATAACATTTGCAATATTTTCATTAAGTTTAGCCATCGCACTCAAAAGTTCAAGAAAATTATCACGGTTAAGAGAATCTCTACTTTCATCACGACCTTTGAAAGCCAAACCCTGACTCGCAAGATACCGGACTGAAACAATTGAAACTTCAAGCCGTAATCTATTTTTTGCAATTTGTTAAGAACTTTATTTTTCAATAAAATTCCGAACATGTTGTGCTTGATTCATTAAGTCTTCACATGATTTCTTGGCAATTTTGTGCAATGAATTATGATCTTTTCCAATGTGATTAAAAAATGCACAGTCTTTCCCATTCTGTACCTTTTTCCAGTTTTTGAAGCCATCAACAATGTATTGATCTTTCCCAATGTGATTAAAAAATGCACAATCTTTCCCATTCTGACTGTGATGCTTACCTGGTTTGTTAAACAAATAACAAGGTAAACAAAATTCAACATCACTCGTAGGGGAGTATTCTAAGCAAGACGGAAATATCTTGAACCACGACGCTTGAAAACGACGAGAATGTTTTCCATACCCGCTCGATGGATATTCACCAATGTATTGTTAAGGACCATAGTTAATATAATTCCGTCGAACTTCATCAATTTTTTCCACGGGATAACTTGATATTGGCATACGTAATCCTGGGTCACGTTCAAGCTTGTTGATATCAAATACCACCGGCTCGATTCTAAGTGATTTTTGAATCTGGTTATCAGCTTTCTCAACAATTGATGGTCCTCCTTTATCTTTCTCTCCTTTATTTTCCTCAACCTGATCATGTTTTCTTTTAAAAAATGAATCAATTCTTGATGACTTCCCCATACCCTGAAAATAAAATGAAAAAAAAAAATAGTAATATTAAATGGCCTATAATATGGTGCTTAAAACAACAATAAAAATAAGCAAATACAAATGTTCATTTTTACTTTTCACATACACATGATGATATGGGATATTGTATACTAGACGGTTCGCCAGGACAACCGGAGAAAACAGGTTGGACCGTTGGATTACCGGAGTTAGGAAGGAACGAGTAACCTGGTCAAGAAAGACCAAGCACTAGCAACAAAGGAGCAGAGAGCAGACAGAAGAGATCAAATGTGGTCGACAGATACGGACCACCATGAGTGGTCGGATAAGACGTGGTCGCAAAAGATTGGTCGAATATCAGAAGTGCACGAGGGAATCTTTAGCACGTGAAAGGAAGGACGCGTGGCGCACTGTAAGTGGCTACGTAGCTACAACGAACTCTGACATTCTCTGACAAAGAGGACGCGGCTCCTGACACTAAAGATAGTGGAG